TTTTTTTTTTTATTATTATTTTGGCCTACATATTAGTGCTAAAAAACTTACATTTGTTATTAATGTGTTTTACAAGTTAGGTGTGATATTTTATAATGACCATTTTTTTTTTAATAAAACTATGAATATATAAGTATCAAATTATAAGTGACCAATTATTAGATCAAATAATCCAAATTTTACACGTAGTGTATTTAAGTATACTAGTATAAATCCCGTGCGATGCACGGGTAAGAAGTATTTATTAGTATTTATAAATAAAAAATATGCATTAAATAATATTTTATAAATTAAGAATATTGAATCAATATGTAATACAATTTACCTATATTAATTTTTAAAAATGTTATATGAAATTTGAATTGTACAAAATTACCTAAAATATGTATATTTAAAATTAGTACACAACCCATACAATGTACGTAACTAATAATAAATTATATTATATTCATTTCAAAATAATGTTATTTTAAAAAAAATTATTCAAAAATCGATTTGACTACAATGTGATTCAATAAAATAAATGTTTTGGTAAAATTTTATCATATATTTAAAAATCTATGTGAATAATACGAATAATTATAAAACTTATATTGTTTCATTAATTAAAATGAATTTATTTTCGTATGACCTGTTCAAATCAAAAAAATTTAAGTAGTTGAATAATTTATTAAACTATAAATAATTAAATAATTCATTTCCATAACTACTTATTTGATCTTTAAATTTAGAACCTAAATTTGGACTACACAAATAAACTTTTTTTATGTATTTCATGTATAATATATATATATATATAATATATCTCGCATTTCTTTAGATTTGTTGTCAGTTACCTTATCGTTTAAAATTATCAATTAATCTATAGAATTAAATTACTAATTGTAAATTTTATTAACCAATGTTGTTCAAATATCATTATAATTTTCTAGAGGAATATATCAATTTGTCGAATTATCATCAATATATTATGGCAAATTATTATGTGAATATGCTAAATTTTAAGAATCACATCACCTTGATTTTATAAGAATGTGGTTCATCCACATTTTATTTTACATTCTAATCAACCAATTGAGAGATAAGAGAGAAATATTATTACCATTTTTAATATATCTAATTATTAATTTTTTTTGTTTCTTATTTATATTTTATTATTATTTTTCCAATTTACAATATTATGTTTGATCACATTGTGAGACGCAAATAATTTTTTAGATTTAAAATTGTGAACTTAAGAAATATCTTATATGGTTCTCAATCCATACAAACAATTGACATTTGTCAAAATTTATGTGATGACAACATTTATGCATTGTAAATGCTCTTATTTTGTTTTAAATAATTTCAAATATACTTCTATCTATTCCAAATAAAATTCATACTAATTAAATTCGAACATTTCGAAAATAAATCACTCACTTTATACCACAAAATTTGACTTTATTATTAACACCACATTTTCAAAAAGATAAAAATGGCTATCAGATACTTAAAATAAAATCATCAACTTTATACCAAAATTAGATTTATTAATTTTGTCAATTTTATAACATAAATTAATTAAGTAAATTTTAAAAGTCATTTCTATATTTTGTCCAAAATATTTTTTAGCGGCACATAAATGTTATTTATATTTTTGTATTTGGTTATCTTGTCTACGAAGAAAAAGATAATCTTGCAACTCTATTATGCCAACATAAAGATGTATGAAAAATAACATTTATTAATTGATTATGTTTTACTCAATACATGAAACATAATATAGATATAAAGATTAACGATTAATTCTTTATAATTTCTCAATCAAGTCTATATATTTAAACTAAGGATTTTGAAAGTTTCTATAATATCTCCATATTTGTTTCCATAAAACTAAATCGTCATAAATTTAAATTCAACTGATAAAAGTAATAACAATAAATAATTGACTAAAAAGATTATGTACATTAATTACATTGATTTTTATTAATTTACTATTTTTAGGCAATAATTAATGAAATTGGCGGAAAAGTATTTATAAAAGTGAATTATGTTAATCCTTATTATATATTAATAGATTATTAGTATATATAATATGACAATTATCTTAAGATGTTAATATATATTATATATTTTTTATGTATTTTTTAACTTTAGTGATACTTTTATGATTATTAAAATATATTATATAATTAATTTTTTGACTTTAGTGATACTTTTATGATTATTATTACAATTAGTATCGTACTCAGTGTCTATATATAATAATATTGTTTATTATATTTATATAATAATTATCATTAATATATGATAAATTCCTTATTAAAATAATTGATATTTTATCTAAGAATATTTAATGTAACAATTCAATTATAAATATGATACACATTATAATATATTTTTTATATATACAAAGTTTGTATCACTTTTTTTGTAATTTTTGCATATGCACAAGATAAAATGCTAGTTTATAAAGTATTTTGGCAGTATTGGATGACTCATTTCAAATCGTGCCTATATGTTTCTTTACTTAGGTGGTGAGATATACTTTTTTTTTTTTTTTTTCTCAGATGATAATTATATTGATAACCCAGAAAAAAAAGTACATCCGATATATTATAAGATATCACAAGAATCAGAACAAAGTGTGGACCAACCCCAACTGAAAGTACACGACAACCAATGGTACGAACACCCGGAAAACAAAACACTCTAACCCGGACTAAACAAGGTTAGGGCTTGATTGTTTATGAGTTAATTTACTCACTTTTATTTCAACTCATAATTTAACTCAACTTTAACTCAATTCCACTATCTTTAATATTATTCATATAATTAAATAATACAAACCAATCATTCTTAAATAATACAAACCAATCATTCTTACATATCACATCAATTTTAATTCACTATTCATCCACTCACATAATTTTAACTACCTATCATTTTCAATCATTTATCTCTTACTTTTACATCAAATCAATTTTAATCACTTTATTTTAAATATTATTCTAATACATTTTTAAAATTCCATTAACAACTAACCATACCACATTTTTTAAATTAACTATGGTTAACCAAAATAATTCACGAGGGAGACTAATTACAAAACAAAAAAAAAACACACACACACACACTTATAGAATTAAACAGGTGATGAAATACACAAAAAACACATGAATTAGGTGGTGGGTGAGTGATTAATAAATTGTACTAGACAAGCCCTAGCCTAGCTTCCTCATATTCCAAACCCAATTAGACCATTTAATAATAATAATAATAATAAAAAAAAATGGCACCATAAAAAGGGGTACATATTTCTTGAGTTGCACTAATTTGTAGCTCTCATTTCTTGTCATCATTTTCTGAAAAAAAAA